GAATCTGTGAGGCTTTGTCACATACAGTAGATGATACTATGGCTTTCATACATTTTTTAAACAGTTAACTCCTTCTTTTCCCTTAGCAGTATATCAGGTTATAGAATCAGAGATACAACAATGACAAATTACATCCTAATTTGTAAAATTATGTGATGATATTTATCATTCAGAAATAGAGGAATAAAAATCTGTCCCCATTTCACCAGATGTGAATTTCAAGTAGAGCAGTTGCTATTAAGAGTTGGTGTCATGTTTCTGACCAGTCCCCTCCTGTTATTGCATCATTGATTGTCACTAGCAGCTGGCCAAAAAATAGTCTTATTTTGCTGTATTAGTCAGGATTTCTGCAGTTTATGTTCAAAAACCAGTTTAGAGTATCCAGGTGATGGGTATAAAGTCCATGTATCTCCTTTTGGTAAGTTATAGTTATGATCTGTGTGCTTTGTAGCCTGCTACACAGAAAACAGCAGATAATCAAAGATTTAAGGGACACAGACAGCTGCCAATTCACAAAACGGGAGTGTAACATGAAAGCTTTTTAGAGGGTTTTTGTTTTTGTTCTAACAAAACATGTTAGAACACATTATGTTAGAATACGCGTTGCTTTTATACTGTTCTTCTTTTCCTTAAGACAGGAATCAAGCTTATATATAAGGTCATTTTAGTTTCCTTCTGTGTCATTCAGTGTAAAACTGCATAATGTGAAAATAAGTGAAAAAATAAATATTTAGTGGCCAGGAACAGTGGCTCATGCCTGTAATCGCAGCACTCTGGGAGGCCAAGGTAAGTGAATTGCTTGACCTTGGGAGTTGGAGACTAGCCTGTACAACATAGCAAGACCCTATCTTTATAAAAAATACAAAAATTAGCCAACCATACTGCCACACAGCTATAGTCCCAGCTACTCAGGAGGCTGAGATGGGAGGATCACTTAAGCCCAGGACACAGAGGTTGCAGTGTGCCAAAATCACGCTACTGCTGTGTTGCAGCCTGGGAGCTAGAGTGAGAACCTGTCTTGAATTTAGAAAAAAAGAAAATTTAGTTTCTGTTCCAAAAAAAAAAAAAAAAAAGAGGTTGCTACCTAACACTAACATCACTACAAATCTTTAGGCAATAAGAGGAAAATAAGAGAATATTATAGACAACTTTATGCCAAAATATTAGACAACTTAGATAAGATGGGCAAATCCCTTGACATATACAATTAACAAAACTGACACAACATAAAACAGAAAGTCTAAATAGCCTTATATTTATTAAAGAAATTGACTTTTTAATCAAAAATTTTCTTCCAAGGAAAACTCCAGACCCAAATGGTTTCACAGGAAAATTTGATCAAATTTTATCAAATTCATCTGAGTCAATAACACCAGTCTCACAAAGACTTTTTCAGAAAATAGAAGAGGAAAATGGGCTTTTCAATACATCCACCAGGTCGGTATGATCCTGATACCAAAACCAGAAAAAGACATTATAAAAAATAAAATTGGCCTGGCAAGGTGGCTCATGCCTGTCGTCTCAGTACTTTGGGAGGCTGAGGCAGGCGGATCACCTGAGGTCCAGAGTTCAAGACCATCCTGACCAACACGGGAAAACCCCGTCTCTGCTAAAAATACAAAAATCAGCCAGGCATGGTGGCGCATGCCTACAATCCCAACTACATGGGAGGCTGAGATAAAAGAATTGCTTGAACCTGGGAGGCGGAGATTGCAGTGAGCCAAGACCGTTCCTTTGTACTCTAGCCTGGGCAACAGAGTGAGACTCCATCTCAAATAAATAAATAAATAAATAAAATTACAGATTAATATTTTTCATGACTATATACCAAAAACACTTAAAATATTAGGAAATCAAAACCAGCAATATATTCAAGAAATGATATCTATCATGACCAACTGAGGTTTTCCCAGGAATAAAAGATTGAATTGAATTAGTATTTAAAAATCACTTAATGTAATCTACCAAATTAATAAAAGAGGAAAGGTGTATCAGAGTTTCAATAAATGTAGAAAAAGCATTTTTTTTTAATGTAACACCTATTAATTATAGAAACTCTCAGAAAACCTAAAATAAGAATAAATTTCCTCAATTTGGTAACTGATATACATAAAATAACTACAGCTAATATGATACCTAGTAGGGAAATAATGGACACTTTCCCTTTAAGATCAAGAACCAGGTAAAGATTCCCACTCACTCTACTTCAGCATTTCTAGAGGTGCCAATCACTGTAGTAAGGCAAGAAAAAGGAATTAAAAAATAAAATCGGAAAACAAGAAATAAGCATGTGTTTATTCACTGAAGACATTGAAAAATCTAAGAAATATACAAATAATCAACTGAAATTAATAAGTTGTTTTAATAAGATTGCAGGATACAGTTAACAAACAAAATCAATTCTACTTCTATACACAAACAGCAAAAAATAAAAAATTATTTTTAAAAATTCAATTTACAGTAAGATCAAAACATGAAATATCTTGAAATAGATTTAGCAAAAGATATGCAAGACCTCCACACTGAAGACTACAAAACTGATCAAAGAAATTAGAGATCTTAAAAAAAAACAGAGATATACATTGTGTTCACTAACTGAAAGACTACATTGATCTACAAATTTAATGAATATCAATTAAAATCCCATTTTCTTTTTAAATAGAAATTGGCAAGCTGATTCTAAAATTTGTGTGGAAATGCAGAGAACCTAGAATAGCCAAGGTTAAACAAAGAATAACAAAGTGGGTTTCAAGATTTACTATAAAATTATACAAATCAGGACATTGTGGTACTGGTAATTTGTTAAATCCTTTGATGGAACATAGTAGAAAGCCCAGAAATGGACCTACACATACATAATCATTTGATTTTTTATGAAGAAACCAAAGCAATCTACTGGTAGAAGAAAAATGTTCTTAACAATGGATGCTGGAACAAATGAACCTCAATCCCCAATTCACATCACAAACACACAAAAATTAATCCAAGAAATATCATAGACCAAAATGCAAAAGCTGAAACTACATACTTCTAGAATTATGAACAAATATAGGAAAATATCTTTGTGACTAAGAGACAGGCAATGATTCTTATCAGGATATAGGCACAATAACCATTAAAGAATAATAAATTAGATTTCATCAAAATTAAAATATGTGGTCATCCAAAGATAGCACCAAGAAAATGAAGTGGCATAAGAAAATGAAGTGGCATCTGGGCATGGTGGCTCATGCCTGTAATCCCAGCACTTTGGGAGGCCGAGGCGGGTGGATCATGAGGTCCGGAGATGGAGACCATTCTGCTAACATAATGAAACCCCATCTCTACTAAAAATACAAAAAATTAGCTGGGCGTGGTGGTGCACACCTGTAGTCCCAGCTACTTGAGAGGCTGAGGCAGGAGAATGGCATGAACTCGGGAGGCGGAGGTTGCAGTGAGCTGAGATCGCACCACTGCACTCCAGCCTAGGTGATGGAGCAAGACTCCACCTCAAAAAAAAAAAAAAAAAAAAAAAGAAGGAAAATGAACTGGCAAGCCACAGACTGGGAAAATATATTTGCAATAATATATACGACAAGAGGTTGTATACAGAATATATCAAGAACTATTACAACTCAATATGAAAAAGATAAAGAATCCAATTTAAAATGGTCAAAAGATAAAGTCATAGTATACAAACGAACAATAAGCACTTGAAAAAGTAGGCAAAATCATTAGTCATTTGATAAATACCAATTAAAACCCAGGGACATAACACCACACATCCAACAGAATGGTTGGACTGATGAAATACAAATGTTTGCAACTACATAGGGCACCAGAACTCTTATTCATTGCTGGAGTTAATGTGAAGGGGCACAACTACCTTAGGAAAAGCTTTGGCAGTTTTATAAAATATGTATTTCAATCACAGATATATGTACAAGGAAAATGAAAACTTACGTCCACACAAAGACTTGTGTGCGAATGCACATAGGAGTTTTATTCATCTAGGCAAGATACTGAAACAGGAAAATGGGGAACAAAACGTGGCACATTTCTACAATAAAACCTTATTCAAAAGCAATAGAAGGAGCAAAATACCACTGCACACAACAAAATGGGTGCCTCTCAAAATTATTATGTTAAATGAAAGGTTTATACAAAGAGTTCATACTGTAAAATTCTATTTATTAAAAGTTCTAGAACTTTGGGAGGCCAAGGCAGGTGGATCACCTGAGGTCAGGTGTTCGAGACCAACCTGACCAATATGATGAAACCCTGTCTCTACTAAAAATACAAAAATTAGCTGAGCATGGTGGCATGCGCCTATAATTCCAGCTACTTGGGAGGCTGAGAGAGTAGAATCGCTTGAACGCAGGAGAAAGAGGTTGCAGTGAGCCAAGATCATGGCATTGCACTCCAGCCTGTGCAACAAGAGCGAAACTCCATCTCAAAAACAAAAACAAAAATGTTCTACAACAGGCAAAACTAAAGAGGCAATAGAAAGGATTTAAACAGTGGTTGCTTCTAGGGGATGGAGTGAGAATGGACTGGGCAGGGGCATGAGAAGACGTACTGTGGAACAAGAGTTTGGGTTGCACATGCATGCATTTGTCAAAACTCAATGGACTGGTAAATACTATGCACTTGCCAAAGCTCATTAAATGGCATTAGGTTGGAGCAAAACTTTTTGTAACACATTTAAGAACTGTGTATTTTATTTCATGTAAATTTTACCATCAAAAAAACGTGCAAATAAGTACCGAACTCTAGTTAATGGCATGTATGATGAAATGTTTCAGAGTTAAATGTAGTGTCTATAACTACTTTGAACTGTACCCCCAGAATAAAAGGATTGAAAGGTGAATAAAGGCATGGATAAGCTTACAGATATATGAAGAAGTAAAATAAAATCTAATTGTAGGATTTAGATGGTGGAATATAGATATTTGCTCCACAACCTTTCAACTTAGGCATATTTGAAATTTTTATAACAAAATATTGAAACCTAAAGAATGGGCTTCCTGGTGCTTAACACAGGCTGAATTCTTACACTGACTGTATAGAAAAGGAGGTAGAGTAAACTACCCATATACCCCTCAGCCCAGGCTCTGTGCCTGATCTATATTATGAACGTGGGAACAGAGTTGAGGGAAAAAAAATAATAAAATAAAAAATAAAGAATGGTTATCTCTGAGTAGTGAAATTATGGGTAATTTTTTCTTTTGTTAACCTGTCTTTTTATATTTTCTATGATGGCATGCTTCATTTTAGGTCAAAGACTATTTAGGTTAAGAGATTTCAGTTATAGTCTTCAAAGGACTAAAAAGACATCAATCATCATACATTACCTTGAAGAAAACTATGGCGAATTGTCCTCCATTACTCGTAAGATCCACAAGATAGCATTCAACCAGATAGAAAAAGTGAAGATTCTGTCCCCACTTGAATGATTTTACACACAGGCATGTGACAAACAAGGAATCTCCATCAATCACAAAAAAATTAGATTCCACGAAATCATTTAATATGCTGGAATACCTAAAATAAAAATCAAAGAGAAGAAAAATCACAGATGTTTCACAGAGACTTTGTTGCTGCTGTTGTTACTATTGCATAAGCTACTATTTGTTGAGTACTTCATGCCAGTCTACGATACCTTTTCAAATATCTCATTTAAGCAATGTCCTTTATAAGAAGGAGATAGCACAACTACTATTTTATTAAAGTAAAATTAGGCTCAGATCGGCAAAGGAATTTATCCAATGCTAAATGGCAAAGCCAGGATTTGAACTTGAGAATATGATTCTAAAGGCTGTTATTCTGGATAAGGACATATATAACCCCCAACTCCATAAATCTGATTGCTTTAGGAAACTATCTGTTCAGTGACAGCTATGACAACCATAGGAAGAAGAGTGTGTTCCCATCCTCTCCAAGTTGCCCCAAGATAAATAGGTTGAGTGATCATGTATATGTATATGGGTTAAGAGGGATGTGGATACCCAGAGTATACAATAGTGTAGCTCCTTCTTTTTTACTTCACAGTACTTACCCAGCTTTTGGCATTTCATTCAAAATAAACTTTGTCATTTTCCTGAAAAATCCTGCATGATCCTCTAACCCTAAAAAAAAAGAGAGAGACTTTTTGAGCCATCAATATTTTTACACAGCTATATAATTTAGTAATTATTAAGGAAAGGAAATATAGATATCCAATTACTTTGTAACATTATTGAATCTGAATATCTTACAAGATTGTGGTTTTATAGGCTACAAATATCAAAGATTGAGAATTACCCATCGTTGCTGCTTCTTGGGCTATAGGGTAGAAGAGTAGAGCTGGAATTTATTAAATATGGCTGATATATTTTATTTTGGCAACTCTAAAATGGCTGCATTTGATGTGAATGGCACCTCTGTAATAAAAGAAAAAAAATAGAACTGCATTTATTCCTAAAACAAAGAAATGAACCCAAAAATTACGGTTACAATTTTCACAGAGCAAGCAGTCTAGTAAATAAGCAAAGATTGATCAAATAATCATACAAACAATTTCAAATCACAAATGTGAAAAAAGGCACGGAGATGAGGGTGGCTTCCCTAAGGAAGTAATGCATGAACTGAGATCTGACGGAATGAGTACTCCCTTATAGTTAATTTGTCCCCCAAAAAAGGAATAAAAAGTATTCTTGGCAAAGGGAACAGCATGTACAAAGGCCCTGTGACAGAGGACAGTATGGAAAGTATGAGATTCAGAAAAGAAGTGAATGCAGTTGCAGCAGAGGGTAAGGCTGTGACGGATAAGGTTAGAGAAAAAGGAAGCTAGGCAGTCTTCTAAGGGATTTTAAGGTGTTTCATCTTCATCTTCAGAGCTAAATACAGCCATTGATGGGTTTTAAACTGGTTGTAATTTGATTACACTTGCATTTGGAAAACATTATCTTTAGTACAGAGAGCAGACTGGAAGGGGAGATGCATAGAGAAAGCTACTGAAATAGTCCTGTAGAAAGATGATGGTGGTTTGAGGTAATGCAGTGCTATTTAGAGCTGGAGAGATGCAGATTCATCAGGGGGACATTTTGAAGATAAATGTGACATAGTTTGGCAATAGATTCCACATGGGAAGGGAGAGTTGGGAGTGTCACAAAAGACTCCATAGATCCTAGCAAGGACAAGAGAATGGATGATGGGGCTTGGACAAAGCATGCTGAAAGGTGGACAGTTTCTGGGCTAGAAATAGAACTGTCAAGTCATTTGATTTCTAAAGATAACTGAGGAAATGAGTATATTTCACAGGTAGAAGAAATCACTGACCGGTGCTTATTAGTGACTCTGGGTCACTCCCAAAATAAGTTTCTGGCCACTCCTGATCACTCCCAAAATGAACTATTGGCACTCAAATCCTTGTCTTGGGAGTTGATTCTGGGAGAACTCACTTCTTTACTTCATACTTACCATAAAGAATAGCAGCAATATACAGTTAGAACTCAACATGGCCACAGGATTGGTAAGTAGAAAAGTAATTATAGCCAAAGAAAGTACTGTCTCTGTGAAACTGAAGGGACAGAAAGCAGAATGCATTTCTTCAACAACTATTGAATGAGCAAACACTTGCTGTGTGACAGGCACTGTACTTGGGGGTGGGAGTCCAGTGAAAAGGACAAAAGTAGGCTTTGTTGCACTCTAGGAGCTTATCATCTAGTAGAAGAAAAATAAATAAAATTTTAAATATTTAAAAGTTAAGTACTATTTAAAAAATAAAAGAGTTATAACGAATTGGACAGGATTGCTACAGACAGCATCTCCAAGAAAGTGACATTTCAGAGGAGCCCTGAAGGAGTGAATGGAGTAGTCATTCAAAGAGCCCCTCCCATTTGAGAGAGAGACAGGTTAGGGAAGCCTAAATCAGCTTTTTTTACTAAGCATTGTGATTTTTAAATTTTATAATATGAATACAAAAGTAAGGATCGTCAGATATAAAATACTGATCGGACAGAAAATAAACACCAAAAATGAAGACAAATAAATAAACAAAATAAAAGAAAATCAAAATATTCTAAAAGACATACTGAGAAAACAAAGATAATTTAGAAGCCAAAAGAGAAATTTTAAAAATTCCAACTAGAATTTTCATACAGAATCAAAGACATTGAATCTATGAAGTAGGAGCTTGCATGCTGCTATTGAAAAGAAAAAATACAGGAACAAGAAAGCACTCTTGAAAATTCAAAGCAAGACTGCAGGTATAAAATAAATTAGTTTGCTGAACAATAAAACAGAATCCCAAGTTAAAAGACAGAGTCCAGAAAGACAATGAGACGGAAATCAGAGAAACATTAAGACACATGGAAGATTGATCAAAGCTTATATCATCCATTAAAAGGTAATCCCAGAGGAAATAACTGGGATACCAGAATGAGTGGTAAAAATAATCGAAAACATAATGTGAGAAAATGTGATTTAAGAAGACTGCCTCAGGGCTGAAGAAAAACATGAATCCCTAGATTAAAAGGATTCTCCAAAAACAAAACAAATTTGATGAAAAAAGAGAAAGCCACAGCTAGAGATATCCTGATAAAATGTTAGTGCTCCAAAGATAAAGAGAAAATCTAAAATCGGGCAAAAAGAAAAGACATTTTAGTCACAAAAGAATGAATATGAAGGAGGCATATATGAATAAGAACATGAGCTCTGAAACCAGGATGCCTGGGTTGAATTCCTAACTGTACAACTAACTAGTTGTGTGGCCTGAGGCAAATTGCTTCCATCTCTGTTTCTGTTTCCTGTCTGCGAATTTGGAATATTATTATTCTCCTAGGGTTGTCAACATAAAATGTGTTAATACATAAACTGCTTAAAGAGCACCCGGACATAGTGAAAACTGATTAAAGTCAGCTCTTTTAACATTATGGCCAACACCGAATGCTCTGACACATGACCAACATCTTTCATCCCCTTTAATGCTTTGAAAAGTCTACTGTAATCAAGTTTTAATGATATAGGATGCATTTCCTATTTGGATCTGATCACAAAACTTGACTCCATAATGAATACTGTATATACAGTTATTTTTTGTTGTTTTTCCATTTTTAGACTCAATATATAGACAAATAACAATGAACTTAATTTATTCAGAAAACCAAAATGTAAATGCTTTGAACATTGTTAATATATTAAAATAGCTAACCAATTTGAGACGTACAAAGAGGGAAAAATGGTAGGAAAAGAGTAGGAATGCTATGATTATCATTTATTAAAAAAAAAAAAAAAGGGGGAGCCCAGAAATAGCATCCAAAGATAATGTTATATACTAAATGTTTATGTCCCTCCAAAATTCGTATTTTAAAGCGTTAAACCCCAGTGTGATGATAATTGGAGATGGGGGCTTCAGGAAGTAATACGGATTAGAGGAGGCCATAAGAATAGGGTCCTTATCTGATAGGATTGGAGTCTTCTTAAGAAGAAACATCAGAGAGCTCATACTCTCCCTTCTCCCTTCCCACTGCCGCCTCCCTCCCCACCCCCCACCCCCTTGTGCTGGCTCCCTCTCTCAGAACACAGCAAGAGGGTAGTCACGTACAAACCAGGAAGACATCCCTCACCAGAAACTGAATCAGCCAGAATTTTAATCTTCTACTTTACAGCCTCCAAAATAGTGAGAAACAAATTTCTGTTGTTTAAGCCACCACTCTATAATATTTTGTCACGGCAGCTTTAGCAAACTAAGAGAGAAGATAAATCAAAAAATAAAGATTTAAGAAATAAAAGTTTTTAAAAAGAACATGCTTTGCAATGAAAACAAAACAAAACAAAACAAAAACACTTATCCTCTATTGTCACGTTATACAAAGTGTAACCCTGATTAAGTATATAGTATGAGAAGTTTGTCTTTACAGAAGTAACCCAGTTCAAAAAAATAAAAGAAGAAATGAGGAATTTATATTTTCCTCATTTTGAAACATCTAATAAATTAATGGATCTAGATATTGAACATCAGTGGATACCAACATCATAAAAATAGAGATAGCAAGACATTCTCTGTCTCCGAATGGAATATGAGGCCATCTATGTGAACTCTTAACAAAAATATAAAAAATTAAAAATAACTGATTATGCCTCTAATTCTAAGACCTAATAGAGAATA